GTATAGTCTCGGATACGAATCGGATGTAGTGACGCTTAGAGTAGCCACTATTCTTTATTGCAGTAATATTCATGTCAATTTACTTGGTATATTCTTAAGGAGTAAATGTTATCATAAAAAAAACCTTAAAAATTTGCTTATCCTTTTTTTTATAAAATGTAAATGCGTATTTTTAAACTCCATCTCACCTTATGGAAAGTGACGATGAGGTAGACGATGGAGCATGCACGCCTAAATTATACATATTCACTCTCGGCTTTGAAATAGCCCAAGTTATAATGTATCCTCGTGTTATCTTAACGATAACTGAAATGTATATGCAACACCTCATCAAAACGAATCATAGGAGCCCAAAGACAAGGTACACTGTAGACGGGTTCCGCTCATTTGTCTTCCATAACATTTTACTGTCATTGGAATTACATTTGTGTGCCAAGTTTTGGAATCGATTCGAAATCGATTAACGGAAAGTGGAAATTTATAACCTTTGGAGGTGTAATTTTTTCTTCAAATTCAAATGGCACCACTACAGAGGTATCCCCATTCCAACAAAAATTTATCTTACCAACCAATTTCTGCCGTCCCGATTTTTTTCGTCTCATACAATGAAATAATTTTTATATGAAACTGAGACAACCAGCACAAAAACAATATCAACTTTATTCACTTTTATGGACAACTCACACTTGACTAAATAAATGACTGTGCCACCATTTTTTAATCAACTAAAATATAGTTTTATTACTTTATTTATATCAGTTTTGTTATCTGTTCTAACTTATTGTTACCTCTTACAATATGAAAACTAAAGACTCTACGAATGTCAAATTAAATGTATGGGAGCGTTTAACGTTCAAGTTTTGGATATTTCTAGTTTTATTATTTAAAACATACTTTCGATATCAGTTGAAAGCCTTTTGATATCTCTTATATTTATTTATGGAATAACCGCCTGGATACACTTAACGATTACACCCTGTATACTTGAAATCAAAATAATCCAAGAGTAAAGTAAGCAGTTCTGAGTTCAAATTATTATAGATGATAAATCTAATAATTGTTATTAGACATGGAAATTTGTATTCGGGGTTATTCGGAAATACGAAGACTGCTGAGAGTTATTAAGAAAGTAGTTTGACAGTACCTTTCAAATTATAAACAATTACATTATATACCCAAAAGCGTCGTAAAGGGAGTTTCCATTGTTGCGCCCCAATAACGTGGAAAAGTGGGCTTATTACCTCCACCATCAAATTAACAGCTAAATGGCACTTGGAAAATGTTTTGAATTTTATATAATTGATGTTAAAATAACGAAAAGACAATTGAATTATAACCGACCTTAAAAAAGCAGGATATTCTCAATTCGTCTTATTTTTTTTATTAACTCCCGTATTTGTCAACCGATTTTGATGATTCCTTGAAAAGATGGTTCCTCAGTACTGGTCCCATTCAAATTTGAAGAAAATATTCCACCTTCAAGACTGGCAAACTAGGGAATTAATCTGGTTTCGTGCACTTTCCGGTAACCGATTTCATTAAAAGTCGACAAATCGATGAAATTCCAGGAACTTTTGAGGTCTGTTTTTTTTTATAATTGTAACCTAGCTCTGCTTCGCCCAGTTTTAGTAGACGACGGGTATTGGTCGCTAACAATATAAATTTATCGCTTCTAGTGTTATAGTCATTACACTGGCCTAACGCTATTTATGACAACCTCGGTGGCCTAACAGTCTGCACTGTGAACTCTGGAAGAGGAGGTTTCGGGTTATATTTCCGGTAGGACCAATTATGGAAATGATCTTTTCTAAATGGGTTCTGGTCTGTCCTGAGATGGTTCAAATATTCCTACTTCCATATTGACCACTGCAACTCGTTGTCGAAGTTGTTCCATATTAAGACTTCCAAAATTGAACCATAGGAATACACTTAAACAGTATTCCTAGTAGTAGTCGTGCCTGATGGTAAGCGACACGCCTGTCCATAACAGTTGCAGTCCCAATCAGAAGTTTACATCACAAAGATAGGCACTGCCAATGCGTCCGTAATTTAATTATTTATTTATTTCATAAAATTACACAGTATTACAGTAAATCACCAAAGCAATGAGAAATTCAATAATTATATATTATTAATATTCAAATCACAGATGAGAGTCGCACATCCATCTTCAAACATTCATCACGCACAGTCATCTATCTACTTGCAAAAACATTGCAGTCTGGTGCAGATACGAGAAGCGCATTAAAACAGTACAGAGCACGAACAAGTGACTTACTGTGTGACACAGTGCGCACCGCCGGCACTGCCAGAAGATGGTGACCACGTGGCCATTCTGAGACATAATACACATTACCCTGAGATATTGATATGAGTGTTTGACACAAACACATATTAGCATCCATTTGTACTTCAATCCAAAAACACTTCATATTTTTTAACTTTCATTTTTTTCCTCGTACATCGTAATGTACAAATACGTCACATTTGCAGTGGTTGGCTTTTGAACTTTGACCTCTTCGTCACCACTTTCTCTCTCTCTTTCTAACACAGGCACACACGCGTTTACACATGTACACTCATACTCTACCAAACAAATATGCATGTGCAGTCGTTGCATATTCTATTTTTAATTATTTTTATAAGCTACGGGTTCACTTGTCTACGTACAATTTCACTGTCATATCCGCGGGGTGGGGGCCTTAACACAGGCTTTTACGTAGGGGATAGGGGCCCAGTAATCCATAACGCAGGTTTTATCTAGTCAGAACGCAAGCATCCCATTATAGCCGCGTTAAAATCTACGTCAGTATAAAACGCAATTAAAGTATTTCTAAGATTGGGAGAAATAAACACATTTATGTTGTATGAAGACGCCATGGTAACCGAATGATTTGACTTACCGCCAGTCAACCGTAGTCGTGGTTTCGAGTTCCTCGGAATTTATGTGTGAAATTTAATTTGAAATTTGCCATGAGCTTTTCGGTGAAGCAAAACATCGTGACGTTCACAACCCTCGGAAAACATGTGAAGTCCCCAACCTGCATTGGGTCAGAGAGGCCTCGCCTAACAGAAGACTCATTGCCCAGCAGTGAGTCGTTTAAATGGGTTGATGATGATGTATTTTATGATCTTGGATTTTTGTTACCAACAAATACAATGTTAAAAAATTCTTACACCGATGGAAATATTAGTGCCAAATTTTCTGAAGAATCTATAAACGTGTAGCTTTTAAAAAAAACAAACAAGTCATATTAATTACCTAATAACAATCTCTCGCCGAAAGCCAGTTAACCCATGCCCATAGTTATAACGATAAAAATTTATCCAAACAAAAATAATTTTACTTTTCATGTTACGAACGTGCCGAATTTGATTTCACTTAATGTATTGTAAACCTCTGTTAGATTCTCTTGTTCTTTAGTGTGATGGTAGACTGTACCTTTCTCTAGTGTTAGAGGGCAACAATCCGACCTGAATTTAAGGAAAGCTGCAATTGGTATTCAAGTTAAAAGAGGCAGCGAGAGCGTTTATGATAAGCACACGCCACCGTTAGTGTTATATTTGAATTAAGAACCATTCTTTCACGCGGATGGCTTCTAAATATTTTTATGATACCTAGTGATCGCAAAAATCTGAGGGGAACTGCCACTGGACTCGTCACCCTGAGACATAAATTGTCAAGCCTCATGTGCCTGTAATTTCACCAGCAAAACCGGAATGCAGTAATGTTCACATTATTTGCTTGGCGGCAGAAATAGGTGAAATGCCACTCTAGACGAACTCGCGGGCGCAAGGAGCTCATCTGATACTGAAATACTCTTGATAGAACACTATATATAGTTATTTCTATTTAATTACTTATATGCTGTAAATGTTTACCGTTTGCATTATAATATGATAATACTATGAAACAAGACATAACGCCTAATAAAGTGTTGTTAAATTATATAATATTTATATATTTGTTAAATTATATTATAATTTAGAATACGTAACAAATTAAAAAATCTTAGGTTTTTGTAATTGCTAGAAATTGGAAATAGTTTCTTTTTTCCAGAACGGATGGAAATCAGAAAAAAAAATATTTCCAACATAAAACCTTTTCAATAATAAACAACACATACAACGTAAAGCAAACAAATAATTTAATTTTGTTTACGTTTTTTTTTAGTTCGTATCATTATTTTGCATCATACAATTAATAATTAAAATATTACGAATTATAATTTTTACGTGTAATACTTATAGGTAACAAAAGCTTTTAAATTATCTAACACAGTTTTTTGTACACTAACTTCATCATTCTTAAAATTGGTTATGTTGTAAAGTTTACGCAGGTAAACAATTCTTGTAGAACTATTATGATAATAAACACCTATGATTTACCTACACTGTAAGAAAACTAGCCATTTGTTGAGAAAACTAGTCTAACGGGTAAGAAACGCGCCATGATTTGCCATCTACTATAATAAGTGCGACCTACTAGACTATCCGCTTTTCTCTTAAGGCTTTTACTGCGCAATTATATTTCTTAAGATGTGAAAGACGAGAAATATAAAAGACCATGGGAACTCTAATTATAACGTCACCTGTGCATATAGCACGTGAATATATTTTCGATAGTCCTTTGTTTTTGCTCGTTCTCTATTCCATTTTCTTCTATTTAGAATTTGGGTTCAATGAACTTTTCGTAAAATAAGTTGGCGGAATAAAAATCATGGCAAGTTCTTATTTTTTTAATAACAATTATCTTTGTAATTTTATTTTAATACATTTGTTACTACATAATTGTACTTTCCATATTAGATAAATAAATTATAAATATTTTTTATATAAAAAATACTTAAAAAGTTTACACCCATGGGCAAGGATGACTTAGGAAATGCATACTTATATAATATAAAATATCTAAAAACATATACATTAAATATCTTACAAAACACTTATTAATATTAAAGCCAGGTACTGGTTTTTCTCAACCACAATATATAATCACTTAAAATTATACATAAATATTATGTACATATAAATCTTAGGTCCGTACAGTAGTCATATAACATACTACATAAACTATAAAAATAGTTACAAAGAAAAAACCTATAAGGTCTACAATTGGGAAAAAATATATAGTGACTATAAGAAAATTGAGCGAGCAATGGCAATACAAAGAACTTAACTTAATAAGAATCAACAATTCAATAAATACACTCGTTCGTCACACAAGCACTCAAGTAATAAATAATAAACAATTGAACATCGTGGGGAGAAATCGACACCTATAGAGGTCGTAATTCTAGGTCGTCTCGAGTAACCTGTTACTAAGGTTTGTGCGCCGAGTAGGCTAGGCTCTGAGCGTCTATGGAACGTCCCCATCCACCACCTCCGTGTCCGCCACCGCCACCGCCGCCGCCGCTTCCGCCTCCGTAACCGCCACCGGAATCACCTCCATATCCACTCGATCCATAATCATGACCTGATGAATGACTTGACGAGTGTTGAGGATGGGCCACTACTTCATAAGTCACATGCTTCTGCTGAGACAGTAACTTCTTCAATCCAATGATAGCCGACAATACTAGAGCTATTTTTCCTATCAGTAACGCTTTTCCTGCTATCAATGCTGTAGCACCAATCGCCAATGGTGCTAACGCCATTAATTTCATCATTAAGGCAGCAATCAGGGGACCCAAGATCTTTTGCACTTTTTTCTTCTTCCCTCTTCCTTCACCGACTTCATTGTCTTCAATAAAGTTGGACACTGTATTTTCTAAAGCTCTACCTGCACTGGACACTGCATCAACAACTTCCGATCCTTTTACTTCAATACGCAAAGTATGAGTGTCGAAGTATCTTTGCAATCTAGACAAAGGGTCCATAGCACGCGGGGCTCCAGTTTCAGTGGGCACGTCGGAAGCTCTCACAACAGTTACTCCGTCGGTTAATGCAAACGACTCCTTTTGTCCGATCATTTTGTCTACGAATGAGAAGAACTTGTATTTCAGGCATGACGTGGAATCTTTTCGTAAGCAGTCGTTAGTCCCTTCGAGGTCGTTTTCGGAATGTCCCGTGTCTTGTGCCGGGAGCGCGCCGCACGCTGTGGCAAAGGCGAGGAAAATAAGCGTCCGCCACATAGTTGCAACGTTAGAAGCGCACTGTGCGGTCGCGACATTCACATCTACTTTATATAGCGCCTCTCCGCACCCCTCGACGGATGGTCGGATGAAAAAAGCGCACCGAAATCACAGAATAGACTTTCTCACTCTGGAGGTAAAAGTAAAGTCCAGGTTTCATAACGTTGCGCGAAAGCCTGAGAGCGTATGGTCATTGCAAAGGTCGTGAACTTGGTGCCTCTTGTGTAAGAGGTTACTTGTTATTTTAGTGCAAACGTGCGCTGAGATTTAACAGAACTTTATAAGCAATATTTTATAACAGAAATCTCTTGCTAATATTAGATCACTCACTAAAGTAACCAATATAATTTTAAGCACTGCAAATGAACAGAAAAAAATTGAAAACAACAATACAATACAACTATTGTGTGGCTTTATATGACTTCATTCATACAAACCGAGCCAAATTATTACCCTTATGACACAAAAAGTATTACTCAATCTTAATGCTCTAGATATTACAGCAGAAATAATAAAAAAGGTAAAATAATATTGAGAACACGTTGTCTAGACGTTGAAAGCAAAATAAAACGAACAAAAAACACTGTACAGACATTAAGTAGACTCACTTATAGTTATGAAAAGAGAAAAACATGACGATTGTAAATAAAGAATTTATAATGTTGAAATTGATTTATAGCTCTATGTCATGTTGATACAGGTAGTAGTATAATAGAATCTATATATAATAGAATCGAACTATCTACGTCCTTAATTAAAAACAGTAAATGTAATCTTAATTAATATCGATGCTTCGGGGAAGAAAAGGAGTTAAAGCCAATTCATTATAATGAGCTATTGATGTAATTGGGTTCAAATTTTTAGGTCTCGATTTGTTTATACGAAGAACAATTTCTAATAAAATAAAATAAATATTTACTTACACATAACAATAAAATTAAAAAGGAAGCAAAACATTTATAAGACTGTCAAGTTTGTAGTTTGGCTTTTAAACTTTTTTTATTATATAAATATACAAGTCGTTATTTTATTAGCATTACACTCAAAGGAAATTCCTTTAATTAATACGAACTCCATAGAAATCTTGAAAAAATCAGATATAGTAGATGATAGAGATAGTAGATGGCTACTTTTGTTGAAACATTTTCTTTGCAATTTTAATTGGTTTCTCATTGTAAAAGTTATTCATATAGATAAAATTACTTATTTTCGTGTGTAAAACATAAAGTTATTAGAGTTTACCTATCTTATATTAACCGATAAAGTTAAAAAAATTCTATTTAGTCCGTACTTGTAAGTAGGCTTGCAATTGCATTGTTTACATTCGTTTCGAATAGGTGAAGTAAAACAATTTCTGCCAGAGCAATAAAATCTGTCATGGAACATTAAAAGTGTGTTTGTGCCAACTGGACCAAGACTTGTAGCTATAAAATGATAATGTGAAGGAAAAGCTTGAACGTCGATTTGGCCAGACTTTTGTTGTTACTATAGTTATTATTGTTTGCCATGTTTTTCTTAATGTTTTACGTCTTGTCTCTTTAGGTTATAAACTCAAACGTTCAAAGAAGTATTCTAGATAAATAGAATTATCCCATTTTATTGTTCACCCCTTCAAAAGTAGTAATTTTAAGGCGATTTGAAATATAATAACTTTGTGTAGAAATTAAAGACCTCCAGGGTTTTAAATGTAGCACCAACTGTAGGTTCTAGGTTCAGAGTGCGCGTCAGTTCACTGACATGAATACGGATAGATTAAGTAGCACTACAACAACCTGGTGAAAGAGTTTTGCCAGGGAAGTACTGCAACCTTACCTATTTCTGCCGCCAAGCATTAATGTGAGCATTACTGCGTTCCTGTTTTGAAGGATAAAGGTGCTGGTGAAATTACAGGCACATGGGACTTGTCAGCTTATGTCTCAAGGTGACTCAGATCTTTGCGGTTTAAAACTATGAGTGGTACTGCATCTGTCATGGATAGGCGTGTCGTGTACAGTTTGTTCATCCTGTCACTTGATATCCAACATAGAAAAGGCGGGACAGTCTCATGCTGGAGTGATGGGTGCAGCGGCATCCATCTGTAGCATGCATATGGACTTTGAATGCTAATTTTTCTTTTTGTGGAATTAAATAATAATGACCCTAGCTTTATGAATCTGTTTTTTACTAACCACTATTATGTGACTGTGTGTCGGAATCATTATTCTTATTACGTTTTTCTTTTCTCAGCCTGTTGGCTGGTCTTTCCTACATCAAGTAAATGGAGGTGTGTTTCTATTTATGCAACATATACAACCTCGTGCGTCGTTATAAGAACTTATTTCGTATTCTTCTATGTCTATAATCTTTCTAACATTTCGGCATGTATTTCAAATTAAACTTTTCGGTTAGGTAATGTAGAGGGTTTCTTTAAAATTTACTGTTTATTTATTTATAGGTTCAGCGAAACTAAATATACTTAAAATTTTAATATATCACTGTAATAATATAAATAAGAAAGCCAATTACAGCCGAACACATAATTATCATAATCACTTAAACAACATAATTAAAAAAATAAACTATTCAAAAATGATTCTATTAAAATATACATTTAATTCTTTTGTTTACATTTTTAAATAAAAAAAAAACAAAAATTGCAAAGTACAAGAAGCTAAATTTAAAAAGCTTCCACTATCAACGTTCGACGAGTGGGACGCAACAACTTTGTCCTTATGACGGGGCTAACTGCATATTATATTATAAAGTGCGCGAAGCCGGATTCATTCCCTAGTTTGCCACTCTTAGAAGTGGAATATTTTCTTCAAATTTAAATGGAACCACTACCGAGGTACATACCCTCTTTCCAACAAAAAAACAGAATCTTCAAAAAAAAAATACAGTCACATAAGTACAAAATGTAGTCATGTATGTATGCCTCTCCGATATGACAGTAGGTTTGAAATAATAATAGTGAAGATGATTTTAAATGACACCTGTTGTGGAAAGGGCAGTAGGGGCAAAGGAAGACGATACGACTGTATTTTTTACGTGTATGTTACACGATTACTCCGGAATTAGTAAACCGCTTTTGATGATTCTTTTTTTGTTGGAAAGGGGGTACTTCAGTATTGGTCCCATTTAAGTAACCACTAAGGGTGGCAAACTAGGGTATGAATCTGGTTTCGCGCACTTTCCGTTAACCGATTTCAATAAAACTTTGCAAATAGATGACTTGGCAAGATAGATCCAATAAAGAAGCCGATAAGTAAACTTTTGAAGTCGTTTTCTTTAAATAAAAATATTAATTCTACATATTTATCCTTTGAGTTTTGCATATGGATCATTTTTTTTATTATCATCTGGATGTTATTTTTGTTGGGAACTGCAATGTCTCTTAGATAAGTAGTTTTTTATTTTTTCCTGTAGCGTTGTATCTGCTCTAATAAAGCGAATTGTCCTGTTAGTGAGTATGGCGCGGTCGTAGTATGGTTTGTGCGTTATATTTTCCAAGACGGATTGTCGTGTGTATTCATTCATAGTAAGGAGTGATATTGACGACCTCAGTAGCCCAACGGTTTGCACTGTGGACTCCGGACGAGGAGGTTACGAATTGGATTCCCGGTATGACCAATTTTGTAAATGATTTATCTAAATTGCTTTCTGTCTGGGTGTTCTGGGTAGTATCTTGGAATTAATTCCTGCCTCTGTGGCCCAATGGTAACGATGGTCTGCTATAAAGAGGTCTCGGGTTCAATTCCCGGGCCGGGATAAATATTTGTATGGCCTACATTTATTGCTCTTGTGAGTTTGAGTGTAATTTGTAGTTGTCTATATGTGTGTCAATGGCATCCGCGATACAGGGATTCTCTAGTGGCGGGTCTGAGTGTGTGCAAAACAAATACCTACTTTGAGCCCAGGTTATTTGTGAAGTTATATGGCACATTATTATTATAAATTATATTTGAGAGGCTTATGAAGGGAAAATTCCTAGATCACTCGGAGAGCTACAATTTAGCTCAGTAGACTATTACTAGCACAGCCTAAAGGCTTTAGCTTCGAAAGCAGTTCTGTAACTATCCATCAACTAGTATTAGAAAACGAAATCTTGAAAATTTTGTATATTTATATCGTAAAGGGAAGGCGACTTCAAAGTATATGAGAGACAATGCAACTAAATAAACTTTTATCTTTTGTTACTAGCAGTAGAGCTCCTTGTAAAGGAAAATTATTTTTCTTTTATTAGTTCACGACCTTAGCTTTAATGGTTGACTTTAGTTACCATCACATCGTATAACACAATGGTAGGTCTTTTGAAACTCTTTCCATACAAAAGATGTTTGGTGGTTTGTAAGTTTTTCGGTTCTGTTTATGACTCTTAATTACATAACGACCAACTGTTTGCTCTATAGGCGCTGGATGAGAAAGTCCTCAGGTTCGATTCCCAGAAGGACAATTTGGGACTTCCCTAATTTGAGACCAGGTAATTGGTATGGCTGTCTTGAAAACTCGCATTTTGGGCAAAAATTGTTAAATTACTGGCGGGCCGTAAGTGGGTGTGACTAGTGCAAGATTGTGGTGGAGGGCACCACGTAAGCCTATACTATTTTAGTAGCAGTAGAGCTCCTTGTGAAAGAGTTCATCCAGGGAAGTACTGCCACCTTACCTATTTCTGCCGCCAAGCAGTAATGTGAACATTACTGCGTTCCGATTTGGAAGGGTAAGGGTGCTGGTGAAATTATAGGCACATGAGACTTGTCAACTTCTGTCTGAGGGTGATAGGTGCAGTGGCAGTGCCCCTAAGATCTTAGCGATTTAAAGCTCTGAGTGACTCTGCAACGAATAATAATTGCAGTGCCACTCAGAATCACTAATAATATGTCTATCTATAAGGATAGACATGTCGCTTACCAGCAGGCGCACGATTTGTTCGATCGTTATTTTATATTATAAAAGTAAAAACCTCCCAAGGCCCGGTGTACATCAAAATGAGAATAATGTGATTCACATACAGACAATATTACTAACTTCTATGATCA